CCGTTAATTACTTCAATCACACGTGTTCTAGCGTCTCGCAATTTCGCCTCGACACGTCGCGCTTGTTGTTGAGGAGCAATTTTTCGGATCAGCCGATCGTGACTTCGACACTCGACGACCGGTGTCGTCGTGCATCTCGACGAGGCACGCGCGTCGCGCCGTCGTTTCGCGAGCGAAAAAGGAGCGAGGGACGGCCAAGATTGTGGTGTAAATCCGTTAAATCGAGGCTGATGAACGCACACCGGGAGGCCCCGACTCGCCTCACTTGTGCGCGCTTCTGCCACGTAGCTGTGTGCTTTACGCGTGCTGGCGTGTCCGTAAATAGGCAAAGTGAGCTAATACGTTGTAACTTCCAGGCCCTTCCCGTAATGACCTCATCGCCACGTCGCGAAAAATTCTTGACGTGTCGGGGACGATCGTATCCGCGGCATGGCTGCACATTGCAAAACGTTGTGGTTTCAATTTCAGTCAGAAACTTTATCGTATGTCCTTTCTATGGAACCGTCGGATCATTGCACGTCCGATTGCCGGCAAGTTTCCAAAGTAACGGTCCTCATCCTCAATCGTTTTTGAATGATCATGAAGCGGTAAAGCGGCATTTTTCTTGCGCTTTCTCCTTTTCCAATAACCTCCATTCAATTATGATAAATTATAAGAGATTTCTACAAAGTATAAAAGAGCACCAATAAAGAATAACAGGAATCAAGTTTCTTATCGCCAGTATATAATCCTATCTAAAGGCCTAGCCACGACGCTAGAACTTGGTCCAAGTTCTAGCGTCGTGGACACAGGTCTTAATAAAACGTAACTTTATACGTTTACGAGCATAGACATATAAAAGATAGACTGCTTATGAGGCAGTGGAACCCTAGGTGGGGGCATCCTCCTGAGGGAAAAGGACAACATGAATTTATTTGGGTATCTGTCTTCCTCTAGTGGACGTGATCTGAAGGTGATCACGTGATCACGCCCACGTGATCACGTACACTAGAAGAAGATAGACCCAAATAAATTGGTGTTGTCCTTTTCCCTCAGGACATCCCCCACTACCTCATAAGCAGTCTATCTTTTATATGTCTATGCTTACGAGCTGAACTTTTCGAGGATCGAGAACAAGGATGCCGTGAAAAATATGTACAAGGGGGAACGAACATAGACTGGCAATTGTCCGAATAAGGTGGTCTCGAGGTGTAAGAAAAGCCTAACGGATTAAGGCGTAACGGAGGCCGTTGCCGAGGAATCTTGAACCCAAGATTTCATGCGCTTTTGCATTGTGCACAGCTTGTTTTACGACAGATAAACAACGCCCGATTGTGGACAAAGTTTTCAAAGTAGCGGTTCTCATCTTCAATCATTTTTTTTTTAATAATCACGAAGCGATAAAGCGGTAATTTCTTGCGTACCTTTTACAACGAAGTTTTATACGCCACGACTCGATCGCCAAATGCAAATCAATCGCAGTTTCGGAAATATTTCTACATGGAAAAGGATATATTTTCTCGCGGTTTCTTAGTAACGGTTTAAAAGATGTAAACCTTTAAGAAATAAAACGGCACGCACAGCTTCGAAAAGTTATTAATAGCATACCCGGCTTTTGTTTGTGCAAAACACCGAGTTTAACGAATTTAATAGAGTCTAAAGAACAAAGCATTATCAAGTCGTATTGAAATAGCGCAGATACAATTCATCGAAGGGGATCGTAGTTTCTTTGGATATACCATATCTTGCAATTCTGTTTACGGGTCGTCGCTTATCTGTGGTCGCGTTATTTTGCGTCAACTCGTGCAACAGCGCTGCACATGAAAATAAAAAACTTTCAAAAACAATATATTATACACGAAGATAACTAATATTACAAACGCATGCCTCAGTGGTCGAATTGGTGAGACGCCCGCCTAGAGTGTAGGGTAAGTCCAGGTTCAAACCCTGGCTGGGGTAATATTTTTCGCAATAAATTTCTCTAATTCGAATTTGCCAGTTGCGTCGTTTAGCAATTTTCCTACATTGACAACTAATATTGTACATAAAAACGTTTATTTTTAGTATGAGATGTATATACGGTGGGAATTTTCTCTCGAAATGTGTCCTGAAAGTCATACAATCGCGGGACAACGCGGCCGTTTCGAAGAATTTACGAGTCTTTTTTTAATTTTACCAGTAAAACGTACGGTAAAATTTCGAAAAACTCTCATGAAATTCTTCGAGATGCCACGGTGTCCCACAATTATATGATTTTCAGGATAAATTTTAAAAGAAAACTTTCTCCGTGCATACATAACAGGTAACTAATAATATATTTAGACGCGTATAGATAACTGATAGTTAATATTAGACGACTTTGTACACAACATGTATTAATAATTTTACATATTTATAGATAATTAGTTATACCTGTACACGTGATATTAGTTGCTGGCAGAATTTTAATAGACACAACACGTCGACACAATTTGCGTTTATTACAACGTGTTGACGCGGATCCTCAGGTGTCGAATACTAACAGCATGGTGCCGTACCGGTAATCAGCCCAATCGTCGTACGATCAATCAAATCTGACACGTACAGTCCTAAATTCTGTCGGGTGGAAAGTTCGTTGTGCGACGTGGCGAGTAAAATTTTTACTATAATAAATCTACGGCTTCTATTAACATCTCGTTAGACGAAACGTGTGGCGAAATCGATTGCTCGCGCTAGTGCGCAACCAAGGCTTGTTCAGAGTCAATTCTTACATTTACAGTAATCTTACACGTACACGTTCGAAAACTATTTAGCCAAAAAAAAAGATCCGTACGGATGCTGTACTGGTCATTCAGAAGATTTTCGAGACTTTTAATTTAGGGTACAACCACCTTAACATCAGACTCCAGCACGACACTTAGTGAAAATGTGCCGTGCTGATAATTTTCAGCAGTTCTATTGGCCAATCGGCCGCAGATGTTGCGTTCGCGAAAACCCTGTCGATTTTTAACTTCCATCCGCGATCTCGGCGCGGAAGAGAGTTCCGACTCCCGCGCGCTCGACAACGAACGTCCGGGCGCGCGTCCCCGAAAGATCGTTCGTACGGATATCCGGTTCGCTCGGTCAGGTCGACTGTGACGGCTCGGTGATCGATTCGCTCCGTCACGCCGCGCGCGATCGGTCTCCGCGTTAATATTTTGACTCGCTCGAGGGAGACACGCAGGATTCCGGGAGGGACGAGCGGCGCGCGGCGGCGCACAGTGGATCGAAATAAGAAAATGGGTGGACATCGAGCTAGAAATAAAAGTTTTAGTTTACTAATTCCATGCAGTGAAACAAGTTGTAGAAATACTCCGGTACATCGAAAAACGGAAAATATAAACTAATGAATTATAGATGTTACAGCTGTGTTACTTTTAAGTTATACAATCAATGAAATTCGTAAATTAGAAACAGTCTACTCAGGCTCGCTATTCTGTACAAAGGGTCAGCTATTTTTATATACTCTATGGTGCCTAATATGATTCTTTTCGTGTATTATATTTTTATCATTTATGTTGCCAGATTTTAGAATTGTTTACATATTATTCTCTACAATTAATCGAAACGAAATCTTAACCCAATGAGCACGTGTTCACTGGGCGATTTAAAAAAATGTCCGTATTTGTCCGAGATCTTTGTTTTTTTTGCACAATTTTAAAGAACCTTTTGTGCAGTAAAAATTCGCATAGGTATTTGCTGCGATCTTTCCTCCCGTACTTAATTTTCTCTCGTAAGGTTTCAACGCTCTTCTAGAAAACTTTGATTAGATTAAGCTGTTGCTACGTGCTAATATATTGCATTTTCCTACACGTCTTCTGTAAAGCTTTACAGAGTTATCACATGAACTGGAACATTTTTGCCTCATATTTGGTGAACAAAATATAAAATTATTAGAGAAAGACGTTAGAAATAAACCAATTGTATCGGAATTGATTTTCAACTAACGAGAATATTCTCGAAAGTCGCCAGCAGTAACTAACAACATCCGACACTTTTATTGACCGTATCTGGCAATTTTAATAATACAGAAAATTTACTACGAAAAATATATAACATGCCTCGGTGGTCGAATCGGTCGAGACGCCCGCCTAGAGCGTAGGGGAGGTCCAGGTTCAAACCCTGGTAATATTTTTCGGAATAAATTTTCTGTATTATCAAAATTGCCAGATACGGTCAAGACAAAAATCTCTCATGTTGGAGTTGATTTTATCACAATCGAGTGTTGCATAACGTTCTCGCCGAACAAAATTTCGGTTCACGTCCACACAAATCATGGTTCCGATCCACTGTGCGGCGGCGGCGGTTTCGCGACGAGCCGGTCCTCGCCGGTGTATATCGCGGAACGTCTCGAGGAGAGCCGACGTACGCTCTCAACCCTCCTTCCCCCCTTGCGGCCCGACCTGACGACGACGACGACGACGAGTCTGGCACTCGCGATCGATCCCTACGGCCGCCGCGGACGCCGGCTCGCACCGGCGTTCCACGATGGGACTCGGGATCGCTGCGCGAGAGAGATCGTCCGATTTCCACGGCGAATCGCGCACCGTCCCCCCGCGTCCGGATCAATGAAACGCTCCGCCCGGAAACCTGTTCCGCGAAGAATTCCGCGCCGGGAGTCGTGCGTCTCTCTCTCCTCCGGTTATCGTCGGCGGGCGATCGGTGCGTAGCTGCCAATGGGTAGACTCTCGTGTATCACCGGCATCGTGTCGATTATTGCCGAAATTGATATCTCGCAAAGTCACGATATTATCACGGGACTTCGCGACGGCGAGAAAGAGAGAAATAGAAAGAGAGAGATAGATAGGGGGGGGAGCGAGAAAGATAGATATATATAGAGAGAGAGGGGAGAGAGAGAGAGAGAGAGAGAGAGAGAGAGAGAGTGTATGAGAGAGAAAGATCGCGGACAAGGGAGCGCTCGCGGAAAGTTTCCGAGGGTCGGCGTACGCGGAGCAGGAAGAGAACACTACGAAGGTGCACGACGGTCTCTCGGTTTCACTCACTTCCTCGCGGCGCATCACCTCCACCTGCAGCCGCCTTTGGTACTCCTCGCACTCGTCCTTGTACTTCTCCATCTCCTCCTTCGTCTGCCTCATCTTCTTCTTGAGCACGTCGAGAAGAGTGCCCTGCACTTGCGCCGACATGCTGGCCTAGTCGAGGACCCCGACGTGTTCACGTTGAAGCGCCGCGAATCGGAGGGGCACTGCGCGCGCGAGAGAGAGAGAGAGAGAGATAGATAGAGGAGAAACACGCTTCGGACGGCGACGACGCGCGAGCCGGTCCGTCGAGTTCCCACGCGGATTCGGCCGACGGGGAAGGCGAAGTGAGGCACGTACGCGACGCGAACGGGTACGCGTAACTGTTCAGGGTACGACCGGTGCGTGTGTGTGTGCGCGCGGGCGCGTGCGAGACGGCGAGGAAACGCGAGTGACTTTCGCAGGGGCACCCGGAGCTGCCGTGCACTGACGACCACTGCTGTTGCTGCTGGCGGCCGCCGCCGTTGACTGGAGCGCAAGATGGCCGCCCACCGGTCGCGGCGCGCGTGCGCACCGGGTCCTTCCGCGCGTCAAGTAGTCCCTGCGGCGTCCCTGCGCCAAGGGCCGCCGCGTGCCGGTCGCATTTTTTTCCCGACGCGCCCGCGGCCGCCGGCCGGACGGGCCGCGTCGGCGAGTCCGCGGGCGACGCGAGCGACGGCGGGCGCCGCGCCGAGCGCCGGGGCCACGCCTGTACGCGACGCGTCGCGTCGCGTCGCGCTGGTGCCCCCTCGTGCGACAGCCGCGTGAATCGCGGGGCGCGCGCGTGCTGCGCGCCCGAGTATCGCTACGCCGATCGACGTGTCGTCGTCGTCGCCGCCGCCGCCGCCGCCGCCGCCGCCGCCGCTCGCAAAGCCCCGGAAATACCGCGCCCGTCACGAGCGCGCCCAGCCGTTCGAATCGCCGGACCTGACAATTCGTTGCTCGTTCTTCTCGTACGGTATTCCTGCACCTGTTCTCTGTCTTTCTTTCATTTTTCTCCGCCTGTCGCGATTGACGCTCTAGCAGTTTCTTGCGCGTTTGCGCGACCGCGGCGAGCAGCCTTCGCGCGGCTCAATTGTTGTCGAGACAAACAGTCGAGCTGACTTTCCGTACGACACGTCCGATGTGTCAATTGTCTTCGACCGCGCTGCGAAATGTTATCTCGCGACGATGAGGCCGGAGAGAAACCTGAGGGCGGCCACGCCGGAGTTTTTACTCGATGCCCCTTTTGGGAGACTGTTTTGCCCGCCCTTACGCCCACTTTTACTTTTGGAACTATTTCATTACGCATTTTCGGACTCCGCCGATAAAATTTCCACTGGTGCATGTCTGTGCTGTGCATTCTGACATCTAATTTATAAAATTTACATCGACCACGCGAACAAAATTGATGTAAACATCATGCAGATAATTTATGTCAATGTGATTTAGAAATTCCCAGCTCAATCCTGTAAAATAGGCGTAGCAAAATAGTTTCAAAAGTAAAAATGGGCGTAAGGGCGCGCAAAACAGTTTCCTAAAACGGTGTCAAGTAAAGCGTGGCCGCTCTCAGGTTTCTCTCTGATGTGACACATTGTTAATGTAGATTTATATGTATATGTGTAGTAATTATGTGGGCGTAAGTTCCCGTTCTCGTAAAATTGCGGTATAAGAACTTAGAGCCACCTGAGATTTAGCAATAAAGCCTTTACGCAACCCTGTAATATTAATCTTAATTTCAAAGCGTTTGAACGAATAATCTCGTCAAAGTTACGAAACCAAGTCCCATCATTTTTATTCACGTTGTCCCGTTGTACTTTCACTAATTGTGCATATTGCTCGGTTTACAATACGGTCTATTCGTAATGGTTATTATAATATTCATTGACTTGTGGCAAAGTTTCGCGTGGCGAAAGAAGCTTCAGGGATTTAAGAAAGAATGCGTCGGTAGTTTTTGTCAAATTTAAATTAAATTAAAATGCAATTTACATCGAACGGGCTTCGATGCGCGTTTGACTCGCTCGGAGGTGCAATCTCAGTGCCACCTGCTGGTCGGTCCGAGAAGCAGAGTCGTTTGAATCGTTCCCGTCCTCAAGGCGGGAATTTCGAACGCCCGTTCTACGCGGTGTCCCCGGGTTTTCCGCGCCATGAAAAGCGCAATCTAATGAGACCGCGTGATCCAATATGCCACGTCATACACGTGGACACGTGCAGCATCCTGTGCTGAATGCCTTTTATACAAAACGGCTCTCTCCCGCGTAACCATTCACGGGCCTTTAGAAATTATAACGCGATAAAACCGTCCCTCTGTAACGCAATTCTGGTTTATAGGTTGCGCGGTGACCTCGCGGCTGATGCGCTTGATATATTCAGCACGTGGCGGCCGGGGTGATGACGTCTAAATTATATGCATAACCCCCTCCTCGAGAGCAACACACGTTGCTATCACGCGGCATTATATATAGAATACAATGTAATGCATCTATTCGTACTTCTCTATTATGAGACAGCGGGGTTTCTACTAAATTAATATCGGCAATTAGGCATCGTCTGTTGGTACCGTCATGAATTTATTGCCTTTGGAGATCTATTTAGTGAAAATTCATTGTTAGATTGCGTGTAATCGTCGCGAGAGAAGATTGTGATTGAAGTTGGATGTTGAAAACCTGCTATCTTTTATTAGAAGCCTATCTCGTAATAGGGGACTTTTCTCTATGTCGAATCCTTCACACAGCACACATTTTATCGTACTTTAACGAGATAACGGAAATGATAGGTGGAAGGAATGTCGCGTAATAGCTGCCAGATAATTTCCAAGGTTAATTTCGTACGCTGGAATCGCGTATGAAAACGCGATCAATCGCGTATATCACGAAAGAGAATATAAGTGAATAATAGTGCATGGAGTTGTTCGGTTACCACAAAAAAGAACCTTAAACGATTGCTTCTTCGAGCAATGAAATTTCCCTTAACTTTGATCGAGGAATGTTTTTGAAGCTCGTTGTCGAAGCGATTGAAATAAAAGTTCAATCGTTAGCTATTAGTATTTTACAAAGATAAAATAATTTGTCGTTGCGCGTTGATTTTTAAAGGCAGTTAACGTATAAAAATATAAACTAGCAAAACTACTCAAATTACACAGGTAATCGTCATAAATTAAAAAAGGATTCACTTTTTCACAATTCACAAAATTCTTTCTGAGGCAATATTTTTCGCAGGAAGTTTTTCGAATTAAATTTATAACCAGTTGTGATCAAATTAATATTATTCGTCTGTTATTTTGTTACTGGTGGCTAAGAAAAATATTATTCGCGTGTAAATTAATGTTGGTTTAAACAACAAAGAATTGGTGACAGAAGTAAATTTTTCTCCAAGTCTTGAAAATGTTTTAAGAACAGAAATGGGCTGGAAAAAGAATTCATAATTCGAGAATTTAGAAAGAATCCTCCTTGGATTCTCTATGCCATGTAGATAATTAATTATCAATAAATAAATCCTGAAGCATATCGCGAAAATTCATTTGAAATATCAAAGTTTACGTTCAGGCAGCTAAGAGAATATTGATGCATATCGACTTTAATTAATACGTAATGCACTCGGCACCACAGGACACTTATGATGTACCTCACGTTTCGGCTAGACTGAATATGACGCAAATCTTTCGTCATTGCAGAAACGTGCTAAACGCGCGACAAGCGTGACTGATGTCCATATGTGAAGCATACTAAAGCGAAGTGCAGAAGGCTGAACACGTTAACGAAGTCGAATGCCAATTGTAACTTTTCCTGCTGCATTTGCTACAATCGCATATTTCCGCGGCACATCAACGTATGTTGAAACTTTATTGTACCGTTCCATTTCTGCGTAACACACAGCTCGCAACTCACGACGTACCATTGGTATTTAAATTAAACGCACGATCGCGACTAATCTCTCTTATCGCGATGTATACTCTTTGATAAAATAACCCTCGCTTATATTCGAATCAATATTTCGAATTTTAATTTCACGCAATTTCTGTTGAAAGGTTTTGATTAGATTTCCATTCTTAGAATTAAAAATCTCTTAATCATAGCTTGTGATAATTAGCAATTTCACGTTGAATAACTTTGAATGTGAACCGCGGTGTTTGTAACGCTTCGCATAATTAATAGATTTCGCTATTTGCGTGACGGGTCCTGTCGCTTTGCGAAATCGAAATGAATGTCCATAAAGCCGAGTAAATCCAGTTGGTTCTAATTTAACTTTAGAAAAGAGAGTGTATCTTTTGACGCACGTTTTGTCTCTCTCTCTCTAATTTCGATGCACTAATTCCAATTATAAGCTTCGTTGATCGAAAAAAATTGCAACCAGAGATGTTTCCACCTGTTCCCCAAGTGGCATTCAACATTGGCATTGTTCCAATTCTGTTGAGAAAGCTGCTCCAGCTGCGTTTTCCCAGCAGATTTTCTTGCGGTATAAAAAGGAATCAATATATAGCCAAATGTTCCATTTGACGCGTGCCAACATCAACTACAAATTTCGTCAATTCAGACCGAACAAAAGATCAATTGAAAACCACCAAAAGTGCATAAGGTAATTGCATTATCCGGATATCCGCACTTTCAGGCTCGTGTTGGCCTCGATTTAATTTTCTTAACGGCTCGTCGATTCAAAATTCCAGGAAGAAACATCTGTTCTCCAAACGGTGCATTCGAATTGGCATTGTTTCAATCCCGTTGAGAAATCGCAAGACCTGTGCTCTTTCTCTCGCCATTTCTTCCACGCGATTCCTTCCTTAATCTCGCAAAGTAAAAGGTACACTGAAAAGAATAAGCTCCGTGCTAAAACGTTCTCGTAAAACATTCCGCGAACGTCATTTTGGCTTTCACCTAGTAAAGAAAGAACGGTTCATTCGCGTCGCAAGTCGCACAGTCGTCGAACGTCGATCGTGGATGGTAGCGTATCCGAAGAGCGAGAAATCGCGGAATGTGGCGTGCAAACATCGTGGCCGATAAGAGGAGGAGGACAGCCACGAGAAAGAGCGTCAAAGGTCGTCGCGCGACAAAAAGTCAAAGATGAAATTAACGCGCATTCCAAATCCGTCGTACGTGGGCGTGTCGCAGCGGGGATAACGACACAAATGGGTCTTCAATTTATGCCGATGCATCTTTCACCGCCGATACTCTCTCTCGTCGATTTTAAACGGAGTCTTTAAACCGCGGTTTTCAAAACACGTGACTTCTACGAACTATGAATCGCGTTATCAAGTTCTTTGGGAAATCGCAATGTATAATCTTGTGCACAGCTGGCAATTATGATTAATGCAAATAGACAAGAGAGAAAAATATATTTAAAAAATGTAATGGCCGAGTAGCATTTTTGAAGAAAATTCTCGAAATCCTGTGCTCCCTATCTCCGCAGCGACGTGGACGTTGTGCACATTTCGGGATGCGATTCCCAGATGCGCATAACGTGCGCCGGATTTATTCGTGCGGAGGCTATCCGGGAGCGGGA